GGACCTTGCTTTGTGCACTGGTGCACAGTCATGTTGGAAGAGGAAGGGGCCAGCTCCAAACTGTTCCCACAAAGTTGGGAGCATGGAATTGTCCAAAATGTCTTGGTATGCTGAAGCATTCAGAGTTCCTTTCACTGGAACTAAGGGGCCAAGCCCAGCTCCTGAAAAACAACCCCACACCATAATCCCCCCTCCACCAAACTTTACACTTGGCACAATGCAGTCAGACAAGTACCGTTCTCCTGGCAACCGCCAAACCCAGACCCGTCCATCAGATTGCCAGATGGAGAAGCGCGATTCGTCACTCCAGAGAACGCGTCTCCACTGCTCTAGAGTCCAGTGGCGGCGTGCTTTACACCACTGCATCCGACGCTTTGCATTGCACTTGGTGATGTATGGCTTGGATGCAGCTGCTCGACCATGGAAACCCATTCCATGAAGCTCTCTGCGCACTGTTCTTGAGCTAATCTGAAGGCCACATGAAGTTTGGAGGTCTGTAGTGGTTGACTCTGCAGAAAGTTGGCGACCTCTTCGCACTATGCGCGTCAGCATCCGCTGACCCCGCTCCGTCAGTTTACGTGGCCTACCACTTCGTGGCTGAGTTGCTGTCGTTCCCAAACACTTCCATTTTCTTATAATACAGCTGACAGTTGACTGTGGAATATTTAGGAGCGAGGAAATTTCACGACTGGATTTGTTGCACAGGTGGCATCCTATCACAGTTCCACGCTGGAATTCACTGAGCTCCTGAGAGCGACCCATTCTTTCACAAATGTTTGTAAAAACAGTCTGCATGCCTAGGTGCTTGAATTTATACACCTGTGGCCATTGAAGTGATTGGAACACCTGATTCCAATAATTTGGATGGGTGAGCAAATACTTTTGGCAATATAGTGTAGTATTTGGAGCTGATTAAAATCTATTAATGATAAAATGTTCTCCGCTATACTCTTTTCTGTCCTACAAATCCAATCCAGAGAATAATCCAGAGCAGTCAGAATCGGTCTAAATGTTTCTTAAGTTTGGTCTTTTATTTGCTGAAACCCTGAAATGGGGGGGTGTTGGTTTAGAGGTTAGAGCAGTGCGCTTGTGCCCTGAGAAGGTTAAAAAGGTGACGGCAAAAGATAATAACACATTCCTTCTTTTCATTGTAGAAAAACCATGATCTGTTTTCTGTTTTCCATTTTCAGATACTTATTCAAGACACACTTAAGCTTATAAGCGTTCTTATGGCATTTCAGTGAAAGGATTTTTATAAAAAACATGATTAATGTGCACAAATAAGGAATAGTTGTATTAACCATCTATATAAATAGAGTTTTATGGTTCCCCCAGGAAATAGGGGGCCTATTATTTCCAAATGATAAATCCCCCCCTGAATACGAGTAGCGAAAACTACGGCGAAAGAGAAGCAGAAGGAAAATGGGGGAAGTTTGCAATGGATGGTTGTGCATGGATAGTGAGTTTTACATTTAACTTCTGGAAAGAGCTTAACCCATGTGAACTTTTGTCTCTGGTACCATTTCTTTAACCTTCATGTTATTCTTAAGGCTCTTTCACACTGGTGGTGGATGCAGGGATCCGTAAAAGCAAGAAGATTAACACTATTAGTTGGTCCAGTCTGCTTTCACACAGATATATTTAGACCAGATCAAGCAAACACAAAAAGTTTTAGATCCTGTCCAGATGAAGATGGTCGTTTAGGGGTCCCATCATGGCAGAGGCCTCAAAACGGACTACATTTGAAACCAGTTCCCAGAGTGGATATGTTTGAATCTGCCTCCTTCAGCAGCTCCATCATAATGCTCTTATACTGACACTTCTGGTCTTCAGTGCTGTGGTTCTGTTTTAGAATCTATGTTTTAGAAGTTGTTGTATTATTGTGGATTATACACCTACTAATTGTTGTTTCTTTGCTGTTGCGGCGCAATTATTTGTCCTCTTTTCTGCACTGTTTACTTTTGTAACTGTGTTTCTTAGCATGTTATACTAGCCTAGAAGCAATTGTTGCCTTTCATATTCAATATTTTTATTAACAAAGTTAAATACATAAAGAATGCTGCAAAGAGGCATGACATTAATGATAAAGCCAAACTGTGTGATCTAAAAAGAAACACGGCTCTAGTTATGAGCTCATGAATCCAAATCGGATTAAATGCTGTCTGTATTGTAAAGCAAGCAGACATATTATATGTAAAACCTCCCTGACAAAATCTAAGTTTTAATAACCTTTTACTTCTTGTTCCTGTTTGATGTGTCCTTCTTGGTCATCAAATAACTTCAGCACTAACGAACTGCTTCTTGGTTTTAATGAACGTAGGTAATGGACAGTCTGGGCCTGATTGCCCTTATCTGCAGACCAATGATTTCCTGGGCTCTTTTCAATTATGTTGGGAAAGAGGTCACTAAAAGGTTTGTTTCTTAGCTCAGCCATTCAGCTTCATTAAAGCCTCTGTGTGTATTCATTAACACCGCAGTCATAGGTCCCTGAAGTGCGTGCTCTGCTTCGACATTTTCTCCTTTACAAATAGATTAAAAAACATATTAATCCTGCTCTAACAGTTTATACTTGATGAGCCTTTTTTGCAAATTTCCTGTGCTTAATGATTGTTGGTTAGGGATGTCGGGGAGATGTTTAGGGCTGCTTAATTATGAGAAAAAACACATTGGGGGCATATAAAGTGTTTATAGCCCCTTCACTATTTTATTTTGCCAGGTTTTGACTATAAACTTTAAGGAAGAGGTCTTAAAAGTTGGAGAGGTATTATCATCCATCAGGAGGTTGTGGTGCTGATAAAGATCATAGTTTATATATACATATAGACTTGTTGAAAAAGAAATATTGCTGATGTTGCAATGGCTTATTTATTTGTAATGAAAGTATAAAAGTAAATTTTTGATATTTTCTAAGCCTGGCCTAAGCTGGTGGGCCCTCAGGTATTAAGGGGTCTTTGAATATTTGGGTGGAGTTGGGGTACAGGCAAAATCTCATGACCTCCCTTCCCCTGGACAACCCTGGAAATCTCACAAGGGGTTATGATCAAGGATATCAAATATGTCTGCTTTAAGGTATTTCTAACTGGATATCACTTCATAGAAATATAGCTATTATATAGCTATATATATTATATAGCAATATAACTATTATACAATGGACGGAAACGAACTGTGGTTAAATGATAAATCATATTAATCAAGATTAATCTATTATTTAAATAATTTTCAACTAATTTAGTAATCGATTTATCGTTAACTGGAGTATATAGACCCATATAGAGCAGCAATTATACCCAAACTTCTCAAGTGTAAAAGTTTTAGTTTCACCTGATTTCATTCTGTAAAAAAATCTTCTTTAAGGAATCTTTTGCTATCGCATTATTTATCATCTACATGGACTCAACTCTGACAGGTACAAACAAAGCTGGACAACTGCGTACGCTCACACAGTGTTAGTATACATTCCTTTTGAAAGACCTCATCATGCTTGAGTATTTATATTGAACACCTTTAAATGTCAAACCAAGCTGACATGGGTCCTCAGGTGCTAGCTGGCAGCTAGTCTCTTCCTAGTGAAGCAGGTCACAAGGAACCAACAGCATGTCACCCACTGTCTGAAATGAGAGGTGTGTGGTGGATGCCCTGCTAGAGAAGATGGTGCAAGGGACCCAATTTGACTTACTTTGTTTTGCTTTTATTTAGCCAGAAGGCAAACTTGTCTGATGGCACCATGGTAGAGTTGGAAATGAAAGTATTTATCAATATAAATGTAAATATATGTAAATGTAAAGTAGTCGATTACGAAATGTCAAAATAGCTTGAAGTATGTCCATGGTAAGTTGGAGACTATATGCTCTCACTCATTAAGGATTTCTATCAGGTGTTAGTAATTAGTTCCAAATTAATTGATTTCTGAAAACAATATGATTTTATTTAGGTGTTTTGGAGAAACAAAGACAATAGAAAATAGAAAACTTTTAAGATCTCAACTCTCAACATTTTTTTCTGTCATAAAATAATGTTAGAAAAAAAGTCAAAGGAGGTATTTGGTTGACTTTTTTATCCTTTAATTAATTCTAATCTTGAATTTGCTTGTGGAAAACATTTTGAAAAGTACTTGTAGGTGTAAAAGTGGGTAAGATGATATATTGAAGTCACTAGTGTACTGACCGATGGCTTTTGTTTACCGTGAGATAAAGTTTGACACCATAATTTATGAAGATAAAGCGTCCGCCATACCAGCGTCCGACTGGAAATATAAAGTACAGCCATAATGATCCATAGATGCTGACTGGACTGTTAAGGGATTTTCTGTAATAAATTGAGCAAATTTGCTGCTTGCTTGGTAATTTCCCTGAACCACCTGCTGCAGATCACCATGTGTCACATCCATTTAATGCTGTTTTGCTCTGGGTAAAAATATACCCCCTTAAGTTGCTCCCCCCGTTACAAGAGCTTTGCATCTTTTACTGTTACCTTTTAAAGAGCTATATTGTATATGGAACAATATCAAACCCCAATCAGCTAATTTCTCTTTGAATTCATAGGTCAGGCAGATAAAATATGCCTCAAGGTTGCTCATTACTCAGAGCCGTTTTGTGAGCCCCAAAGCTTCCTCTCTGCACCGTCGCCAAGTGTTGCAATTCACCGACGTGTCATGAGCTCCATTTTTATCTGTCACATTCGTTTGCGTGTGATGGCTGCTGATGCTCGGCTCATTAGGGATTCTCTCCCCCTCCTTCTCTCGCCACCGTCGCCACTGCCACGTCTCCTTGAGAAGCTAAGACTCTGACTCATGTTCGTCCTTGACTCACACCCCCGTCTTGTCTTCCCAGGAGCTCGCCATTTACACCTCGTTTCATCCACTGTTTTGATAACTCTTTTCCTCACTCTTTTGGTTTTTCTAGTTAATTTTTACTCTAATTGCCTTCATGGAAATGTTGTTATTTTTTTATATATTCTTTGAATAAATAGTTTTTCTTCCCCTCTTTTGTCTTCTGTAGGAGCTGGTGGGCAGCAACCCTCCGCAGAGGAACTGGAAGGGAATAGCGATCGCCCTTCTTGTCATTCTGGTCATCTGCTCGCTGATCGTCACCTCCGTCATCCTGTTGACACCAGGTACAGCAGTGCAGGACAGGAGTGGGAGGGGTGGGGGGGCTCCACACTATGCGCTCCTCAGCACTCTGTTTACACACATTGTTATGCACAGGCATGCCTATTAAAGTTCACAATCAATCTCCTCGCAAACAATGCAACGGACAAAGTGCTAGTGGTTTGCTGTCTCTGTCCTTGGACGGCCCAGGCTTTGGCAAGTGTTGGCACTAATTTCTCCCCTCAGTGTCCACATGGACACTTTTGCTTTAAGAGATTTAGTCAAGGTCAGGAAACTTCATTAAATTGAGCTTGTGCAACATTACCTTCTTCACAAACAATCACCTCCCTATGTGCCTATTTTGACTTAGTTACATAATTTGGATGTCTGTTTATTTACTTAGTTGTTTTACAGCCCCTGAGTTTCATTTGTGACTGACCTTGAAGTACGCTCGGTTTTTTTCTTTTTTTACTTTAATCAGACGACCATCTGTTTGCATTCAGTCCCATAAAGTTCCTTGATACGGTTTTATGCACTGCAGGAGTCAAATCAGGTTAATGTAGCCTTCATTGTGTGCTCACTGGAATTAATTTATGACAATAAGCAAAGTGTCCTTGTTCACAGTTTCCCCTCATTGAAAATGCCATTTTGTGTTTCTACCAATGCCGAAAAGGTAGTTCATTCCCGTTTTTGAGTAATCAACAAATGTTGTAAATCCTAGAAATACCCCAAATACATACGCCCATACTAGAATCAGATAGTTGGACACAACTTTTGCAACTCTCAACAATCCTTTGATATAATTTGGGCACTTTCTTTGCAGAAGTTTATTTCAATTCAATGCAAGTTCTGTCTTTCCCCTGACCAAAAAAGTTTTCCTTGGTTAAAATCTATTGTCTTCATGTTAGCTACTTAAACATTTTACAAATGTTATTGCATTTTATTTTTGTAGGTATTGTATTTTTTCCTCATCTAAGTAGAAATTCTTAACTTTGATGCCCCCAAAAGTTGGTAGTATGGGTCTGAAAATTTTATTCAATTCAGTTTAGTCTAGTTATATAACTCCAATTCACAACACACATCATCTCAAGGCATTTTACAGAGACAATACAGTCAGATTGGTTCAGTTTTTCTAAGAAAAAAATCAACTTGACATTAATCCCTCACACAACAGTGGAGAGGAAAACTCTCTTTAACAGGAAGAAACCTCCAGCAGAACCATGTTCAGTGTGAGTGGTCAAAAAGAAGCAAAGATACAAAGGCAACTGTCAACCAGCTGCACAGGTGGCCATGTCCTATAAACACACAGCCAGGCAGACCATCTCCAAGTCAGCTCCCTTGTCAAAAGATGAAAGAGAGCACGTACAGTTACTTACAGTCAGAAAAAGAGGACTACACTGAAAATCGGGCCATCCTCCAACATCTACAAACAAAAGTGTTGATGCCAGCAGTACAGGTGATATTTTTCTCTCAATGATGATGTCACAGCCAAACAGGAACAGACCAGATTAAGCTACTATGATGACAAAAAGCAGAGAGCATAGCGTTGGAGATTAAATTTACAAATACTGCAGAATGGAAGAATAAGGATAGAATGAAGCAAAATGATGAAGAGTGGTCCCTATGTCCTCCAGCAGTCTAAGCCTATAGCAGGACAACTATTGAGAAAGCCAGGATAAACTGAGCCACTCTGACTATACTGTAAGCCTTATCAAATAGGAAAGTTTTAAGCCTTGCCTTAAAAGTAGGCAGGTTATCTGCCTCACATAATAAAACAGGTAGTTTGTTTCATAAGGGAGGAGCCAGATAACTAAAAGGTCTACTTCCCATTTTACTTTCAGAAATTCAAAGAACCAGAAGAAAACCTGCAGATTGAGCGCAAAGTGCTCAGTTAGGAACATAAGGAACAATCAGATCGATCAGATCTCTGATATAAGATGGAGCTTAGCCATTTAAGGCTTTATATGTGAGGAGGATTTTATATTCTTTTCTGGATTTAACTGGAAGCCAATAAGGAGAAGCTATAGGAGAAATATTATATCCCTTTTTAGTTTTCATCAAAACTCTGGTTGCAGCATTTTGGATCACCTGAAGGCTTTTAACTAATTGTGACCACAGTTGCAATATATGAAAAGTAAAGAATACAAGCATCTACCAGTTGGAAAATGTGTTGCCATGACCTCTGGTACCTGAGGATGTGACTTAATGTTCTGGTTTTATCCTTGGAGTCTGTTAATGACCACCCTAGGAGGTAGAAAATTGTAATTTAATAATAATCTTTAGTTATGGAACAGCAAGACTAATAGAACATAGCATGGTTGGTTTTGAAACAGGGCTTCTTTTTTTTAGTTTCAATTTTTCCCCAAGCTGTGACAGTTACTCTGGTGTTCTTTATGTTTCCAGTTCATGCTTGACCCCAGTGGTGGCTGGGTCTTACACCCAAACAGCAGAACAGAAGACCCAAACCATCTTCCTTTCATCTGAGGGAGACAGTTTTTCTTCTAGATTTTGGAAAAGTAGCCAATCCTTAATACTTTGTATTGATATCATGTTGTTATAGCAACAACTTTTTGAGTCTACTGTTATTGAGGATGCCTTTAAAGACTTCCTTAATTATTTAAAATTCTCCTTAGAACTTCCCCTGGTTCTTAAGAAGTTAAAAAATATTGCTCAATCCTATGAGTAATGTCAGGCAAATTATTTCGTACAAGCAAGGCAAGGCAAGTTATTTTTATAGCACTATTCAGTACATGGACAATTGAAAGTGCTTTAAATTAATTTGACAATACAATAGAGAAAAAAGTAAAGATTAAAATAAATAAAATTTTTGGACTACAACCTTAAACATACATCAGTTAACATTTTAACTTGAACAGTCAAAGGCAGCTCTAAACAAATGGGTATTTAACTTTTACTTAAAAGAACTCAGGCTGTCAGCATTTGTCCAGCTTTATGTAAGTTTGTTCTTGATAAGTGCAGCATAGGAACTGAATTCTGCTTTTCCGTGTTGGGTTTTAATTCTGGGTATAGGGAAACTGTCTTTTGCAGAGAATCAGTCAATATAATAATAATCAATTTGATGAGTCTGAGTTGATGAGGTAACTGAGGCCCACTGATTCTTCCAGTCTCAAAATTTTATTCCAACTTCCTTCCATTGCCCCCCTTGGCAGTTATGGCATGTTTGCTATTGACAGAGCAGACCAAGGCAGCACGAGTAGAGCAAGAAAAAAACTTTAGGACAGGCGGGCGGTGTTTTACTAGCTTTACAAATGCCTCAGTCTGACTGCTCTGTTTCTAGCATTTTTGTTCTCAAACAGAAGCATGGCTCCAATACATATTTTTCCACATTCTCCAATATTTATGCTTAAAGGCCATAAGCAGACAGCCTGCTAAATGAGCTAATACTGGGGAACTTTAATGGTATTTTGCGTATTAATGTTAGTGCTGCCCTTGTCAAATTTGGTTTTAAAAGTTGCTGTGATTTAATTAGTGTTTTGGTGCATTGGAGTGGGGCCGTAAGACATTGGAGCTCCACAAACCCTTTCTCAAGGACAGAGCTTACTTTTGCACAAATGGTTTATTTTACTCCTCCGGGATGTTATTGTAGTTGTTAATTGGATTCCTGAATTCTGTTAAGTTGAATGTGTTGTCATATTTGCTGCTCACAGGCTTACTAATACATTCTCTTAAAAACCTTCATAACTTTTAGAGTTATCAGGCTTCATTGCAGATTGTTACCCTTCAAACTGCAGTCGCTAGTTTTTATTTTCTTGAATAGTTTCAAAATGCTTAATGCATTTGAAATTAGAAACTGTGAATTGAGATCTCATCCCGCTCCAAAATGGTTTATCAGAGACTAAATATGATTCTTCAGTCCAGTTGACGCAATTTCTGAATGCATGGTTGCTTCTTCCTAAAATATTTTGCTAGCAGAGCATCAAGTCAGACTCAAAATGTGACCTGATCCTCACAATGACAAGGGTATAAACACTATCGATTGAGATGTCTGACCACATTGTAGAGTCTGTTTTCTACATGGTTCTCAAGCAGTCCAGTGAAAATGGGCAATTTTTTTCTTTTATAATTTCTTGGTTAAGTATGGTAAATATATAAAAGGATAAAATGTTTACTATCCACATTTTATTCTTTAGTCTGTTCTCTAAAATATCAGAATTACCGAATAATGAAAACATCCCTTTATCACAAGTTTATGCTGTTTATTTTGTATCTTCTTTAATTGGCACTCAGTGATATTTTTTCTTCAATCAACTGTTAGTTTTAGTGTTAAGGTACATTTAGCTATTTTCTGTCAAATAGATCTTTGAGGTCTTTAAATTAAAGAGTTAATAACTGATCATCAGTGTGTTTAAACACATATGTTGTGCAACTCTCATATATATGTATTGCTCACCCCGGTATGGATGCCATAAAATGTTGAATAACTGTAATATGCATTGTGAGTCCAGTAGGGGTGGTAAATATGTTATCTTATTAGATATTATTTGGACTGCCATATATTGTTTATGAACACACACCCTACTGGCTGTGTATTAGGACAACAAATGAAAGTGTGAATCGAGCTCAAATCATGGTGAAACTGAAAATGATGCACTTATATGGAATGAATTATTCAAAACTTCCATTCAAAATAGTTTATCAACAAAAATCATTCAGCTTCTACTTAAACATATTTAGGTGAAAAACTCTTGACTAAAAACTTGTCAAACAACTAAACTAAGCTACTATGTAAAAATGAGGAAACAAATGGTTGGAAACCATAATCAATCCGATGATGCAATATTATCACATTTTAGCATGAATTTTATATTTGAGAACCAAATTTTATCTTGTATAATTTAGGATGTGATCAGATTCGTTTTTGGATAATGTAGAGCAATTGGAATGTTTTCAAACCAATTCACAATACAAACCCATGAGGTGAATGAAACAGTATATGGCTAAATAATGTTTTATTAAATGATTTACTTATTCAGGAACCAATAACCTTTATTTAATTGATTCATTA